CTGCACTTTCCCTTGTTATATTTCATTTATAATATATTCATATATTTACTGCATACTCACTTGGCAATGATAATTTAGAAAAACATTTCAGGCTTTTGGACTTCTTATCGTATATTGGCCAGCACCTTTGTTTGCCACACCACTTGCCCATTTCCTGAGGAACACTAAAATTCTACCTGCAAGCTATGAAGATTAAGGCTGCGTTAGGAATAAGTAAGTCACGGAGTTTTTTCTCGTTTTGTAGAAGAACTTGACACACTGATAGGCGACAAAAGCGAGAAGCTGAGATCTTCAATCATGTCCTGCAGTCCGGCCGGTATTGCAAGCGCATCCCTTTCCAGGCAGATGGCAGTCCAACCCCATCCCTTGTGCGAGCCCTCCCTTTCCTCCGGTGTACCGCAGCCATTACACAGCATCCACTCATCAGGAGCTCTACATGTCAAGAACCCCTTACCAAATTTGCTCGGGGGGCAGCAAACCGCGTGCTATTCATCACCACAGGGTTTTCCTCAAATCTCAAGTACGTTAATGCAACAGTCACCCGACCCCCAGACCCTGTTTCCTTCTGGGGAGGCTCAAAGCGAGCTCAGAACTCAGCCCAGCATCACCCAGGATTCTCCAGTGCCGGCCCAGACGCCCCCCATCTGCGGTGTGAAGGTGCTGCCGGAGCACTCCGCAGCCAGGACCGTGCAGGACACGCTCATGCAGGAAGGAGACCTCAGCAACGACATCGATGCTCTCAATCCATCTCTGACTGATTTTGATCTCCAAGGTAGGTCTCTAAGGCATTTTTATTCTGTCCAGTTAGGCTTCTCACATCAGATCCCAACCTCCACAAGATGCATTTACATCCTTTTTTTTAACCACTTGCCCTTGCTACAAAGACCTGCTTACTAGGTTGTGCTATTTTGTACAACATGGAATTTCGATTTTTTAAAAAGTTTCCCAAGAAAGCTACAGACTTACATCCAGAGCTTAAACCCCCGCTTACTCTTAACTACAACTGCTGATACTAAATACTGCAGTACAGTGTTTAGAAAGTTACTTTTTAAATTCAGACATTTTTCCACTGAAAAATACTCAGGCAACATTATTTCGTGTATACCAAGAGAACTGTCCCATAAGGAGCACAAAGAGAAATAATTTTGATTGAATTAACATGACCTTTTTCTTTATCAACATTTATTCAAACACCTTCCACATCTTTCCTCAAAAGAATGCTATTTACTCCTTCACAAGGCACTCATCTGATCTATGCCCTGAACAGCTACATTTTCTGACACGTGTTCTTAAATACCTAGCCGTGTAATGCAGACAATAAAGTTTCTGATATTAAATAACTGAATCATCTTGAATGGACATTATTTTAAATGCTAAGAACATAGCTTTCCATGCAAAATAAGAAAAAAAAACCCACCAAGTTTGTGTGTGCGCATATATTTATATATATACATATTTATGTATGAATACTTATAAAATAAAACCTGTGGGTTCCAAATTATACAGCTTTTGCTGCACCAAACAACATGCAAGAATTGCCTTCCTGCACAGACAAAAAGTGGCACACAAAGCAACCTAAAAGAGCACAAAATTAAAATAAAACCAGACTTAATAATCTACATGACTCAGCAAATGCAGTTGCCCTGCCACTGCACTGCACGAATATTCCGCAATCTTGCCATGCCCAGATTCCTTTACCAAGAATCCTCAGCTTCTTCCTCTTTCAGACATCAGATCTCAAATTCCATTCATTTCTCTGAACCTCGTTCCACTTTACCCAGTTAATCTGGAGCACATTCATTTGTCCTGTGAATATCCTGTATGCTTCACCAATACGGTACAATTCCAACTTCCCTTTGTCCTCGCCCTTTACCTGAAATTGGTCAACCTTATCTAAGCTTTTTCTTTTCTGTCACTGTCAAATCTCAAGTTAGAGGTCCTAGAGCTTGAGATAAGGCTTGCACACTTGGAGCAAAATCGTTACACATCCACACATTAAAAAATAATAATAATAATAATTAAAAACCCCAAACAACTTCTAGCTAAAGGGCTAAGTACTATCACATTTGATAGTGCACAGATGGTGGGTACAGCTCTGGGGCAACAGTCTCCCTGCCATCTCCCCCCCTGAAGAAATCTTCAGTGGTGAATATGACAAGCACAGCCCTCCTGCAGTAACTTATTTAGTGCTTTCACTGGGATGTGCACGTTCAACAGAACAATGAGAAACATTTTGGGACATGGTAGAAAAGAGTAACTTTTCAGATCTTTTGATTTGTCAAGTAAATCGCGTGTCCAGTAGTTTAGTTTGCAATTCAGATAACGCTACACCATAAGACTACAAGAATTTCAGCTGTAAAGTGATACTATTTACAGATTTGTCTCATAAAGTGCCCATAGCTCTTCCATATCTTATAAAGATAACAGAGGCAATTTCCCCTTTTCAAAAATTAGTGGGTTTTTTTTCAGATAGAATTTATGCTTCCCAAGGATATATTTACAACAGAATATTGCCAATTATCAAGTGAAATAACTTTCTTAAATTAATGCTGCTTTCTCCCAGATATAAATTTATTATATAGAGAGAAAACTAATAACTAAATCTTTTTCCTTTCTCAATCATGTGTGATTAAGAGTAGCTGCACATACAGCATACACAGTTGTATCATTACAGGTTTCTCCAGTAAAACAATGTTTCAAATCACATATATACAGAAAGTTGAATCAGCCCACTTTGCTTTGTTACAGGAAACCTTTGGGAGGAGCTAAAAGATGACAGCCTGGCTGTGGATCCCCTGGTTCTCATCTCGTCATCCCCAACACCTTCCCAGTGCTTCCCTTCTCACTGCCAGATGGAGAACAGCAGCACCACCAACATCCCAACAGGACCCCCACACAGCGACCTACAGCTCACTACTCTTTACTCTGCCTTCATGGAATTGGATACCGTGTCTCCTGCCTACCTACCTAATTCTGGATCCAAACCTATAGCACTAATGTGAACCACGCACCATCCTAATTCTTATTATTATTTTGTCTAAATACAGTCCTAACCATCACACCTACCTATCTGATTTATGTCAGCTGAGACTGTGTCCATCGGAATAAGAATAATCTTTTTCCAGAACTTGCCCGCAGGATATGTAGCTTTACTATGATCATTTTCTACAGACAGATACTAAAAAAAAATAAATAAATAAACTAAAAACTATTTAAAGATAATATTGTCAACGGCTGAACTGGTCAACAACATTTTCTCAAGCCACTCACCTTCTGCATCTTCCAGAAACCAGTGCCTGCAAGAAGAAAACAAACAACTGACTTTTCTTTCTTTTTTTTTTTTTAATGAAAGCTGCTTGCAAACGAACAGAGAAGTCAAAGCAAACTATAATCTAACTTATTTCCTGGAGCCAATGATCTCAGCAGCAGACCACTAAAAGAGAAATTAAAATATGCACATTAAAACATTTACCATCCCCTTGAAAGAAGTTCTGGGTTTTGAGAAACACATAAACAAAAATTCTACAAGTATTACAAGTTAGAGGACTAACTGCTGACAGACTAAACCAAAGCAACAGATACACTTCAGTGAAAAAATCCAGGTTTTATTGTGTTTAAAAAGAAAGTTAAAAGTCTGGTTTTTTAATAAAAAAGGACAAAACCATTTAGTAGAATTTTTACTTGGCTGGAAGTTATTCACATTCATTTCTCTATTTTTATCCCCATAAGCTGAACAGTAAGATGAATTATTCGACCATTAAATCAAGATTTTGAAAAATGCTAATAAGAAAAGAGAACAAGAATTGTTACAGTTAGCCAAATCCAGAGAGCATCTCTACTTTAGCATCCAGCTGACATCTGCTACATCCAGCAGGGTTTGTCATGATGCTGACGAGCCCTTGCATTAGGATCGCGTATGGTTCCCAACACCAACTAAGGCGTTTCAGCAGGCAGTTTCTCAGGAACACACTTCTCTCTCTGATTTACCACAAAGGTGCTACTTGTGACACAATACAGAATCCCAGAATCCCAGAACGTCAGGGATTGGAAGGGACCTCCAAAGCTCACCCAGTCCAATCCCCCTGCCGGAGCAGGAACACCCAGATGAGGTTGCACAGGAAGGCGTCCAGGCGGGGTTTGAATGTCTGCAGAGAAGGAGCCTCCACAACCTCTCTGGGCAGCCTGGCCCAGGGCGCTGTCACCCTCACTGAGAAGAAGTTTCTTCTCCAATTTCAGTGGAACCTCCTGTGTTCCAGTTTGTGTCCGTTCCCCCTTGTCCTATCATTGTTTGTCACCGAGAAGAGCCTGGCTCCATCCTCGTGACTCTCACCCTTTAAATATTTATAACCATGAATGAGGCCTCCCCTCAGTCTCCTCTTCTGCAAACTAAAGAGCCCCAGCTCCCTCAGCCGCTCCTCAGAAGGGAGATGCTCCACTCCCTTGATCATCTTTGTAGCCCTACGCTGGACTCTCTCCAGCAGTTCCCTGTCCTTCTTGAACTGAGGGGAAAGTGTTTTATTTCAAGTGAAGCCATCTAAAACCAAAGCAATCTGGAGCAGCAATGTTTAACAACACTAAGGAAAACTGTCTATGAAGCACAAAAAGATCAAAGTGTCTTGAGTGACATCTGTAGGCACAAATTATGGAAACTCAGAAGAAGCTAAGGAGGTTACATTTGAGTCAGACTGGGTCACTTACACTATAAAAATGCAGCAAGGAATTACAGAGAAAAGCACAGACCAGGTAGATCAGTGAGACTGTCTCATTAAAATAAATGCATGGGGTTTGATTAGCCTGCATCCTCACAGCGAGGTGGGAGCGCTGCCAGTTAAGACCGAAGCCAAAGCCAGGTTCCAGTCTCCAGCCTCAACCATACCTGCTAGCCCAGACTTAAACCAAAATCAGATTAGGGGCAGACGGATAGAGAAGACTTAGGAAGAACACATATGATGCAACTTGGTAATCCCTTAGGCAGCATCAAGAAATCCTCACTTCACTTGAGCCC